TCAAACTGAATTCTCTTTCTGTACTGACATATATTACAAATAAACATTTGATCAATAACATTGTGAAATTATAATGACATGCACAGTAATTAAAAATACTACAATTTGATTATATAGATTTTACATTTTAAGAAGTAACCAGATTTGGACAGTTTTGTAATTAATTAGCCTTAAAATTTTATTTTCATTCAAACAGTTAGTGAAATGTGAATACTTGCCTAATCATTTCGTACCACTTGTTAATTTCAGTGTGAAAATGTTTTTTACATACTGTGTTATGAACTATTTTGCAGTATAAAATGTTATGCTTCTATTGCAATGCTTCACTATTTTATCTCTATTTACTTGTTATTAGTTGGCATTAATTATATTTTCAATCTCAACAGAAGCCTCTTGCATGAACTTTAACTGATTTAAGAGCAGAGCGAAAGAAACTTATGAATTGTCAAACCTATTCATGGAATAACTAGAAAAAAAGGTTACTGGACTCTAAAACAACATCAATTTGGACATTAAGACTAACACTTTATCTCAGTAGTATAATATATTAATTTTTTATCTGGTTGTAAGTCATATTGTAGATACATATCTACTCCATCTTTTCTCCACCTTTTTCTCCCTCTCTCTCTCCTCCAAGTTTACCCTCTTAGTTTTATCTTGTTTTTCTTAACTTTATATTTTGTTTCATTAATCAATTAAGTTGTGAATAAAATATATGATGTAGTGAGTATTTAGTTAAGTTCCGTTAACTGGTCAATGAAAATCAATCCGAATTAACAATTTCTACATAGCGTTTCTTTATAAGTGACTAATAATGAAACATTAAAAGGAAAATAATAACAATGACTGACAAATATAACCAACTAATTATATACTCAAATACAATGTATAAGAAGATTATAATTACAATCATATCAATATTAATTTTAAAAAAACACATTCTATAAGAAATAGACTTGATATCACTGTTGTTTAAATATATATATCAACATTTGTTCAATTCTTTTGAGTTTGAATTGATATTATGAAAAGACTATGAATTAAAAGCTGTAAAATTATTACGGAAATGAATGTTTATTTGTACATTTATGTCAGAAATAACTTAGAAAGTATATTAATAACAACCGGTAACACTTCATGTAGTCTTTGTTTCTACTTTCTTTCACTACATAAATAAAAAAGGGCATTATCTTTTTTGATATTGTAAATAAAACCCAAAAATTGGCGGCAATTTCAAAAAATATATAACAATATTTCTTAATAAGTAGGTGAAAGAAGACAATGGTAACACAGCAGTAAGTTAAATAAATTTAAATTTATCGTTTAGCAACATTCTAAAAACAGACTGTAATATATATATATATATATATATATATATGAATGGGTTAACAATACAATGCTTACTTTTAATCCTATTTATAAGTATTATCAGCATCAGTGTGTATGTGTGATTGCAAACGTTCCATTTACATTATTATTTTACAACTTTCAATATCTTATCATTAGTTGGTTTTTCACTATTTTCAAAGAAATGTATATATTAATCGTATTTAAACAGAAGCCACTTTTTGCTACGAGCTTACTGTCAATAAAAGCAACGAAGCTGAATATGAAAATTCTCACTACTCTAAGATGTTAACCAAAAAATATTGATCAGTAAAAATGAAACCAACATGATTCAGGAATAAAAAATAAAAACATATTTTATACTATTGAAGAAGAACAGATTGTAGTGTAGCATTAATTATAAATAGTCTAAGTGAACTTTTTACAACCAGATAAACTTATAGTATGAAAGTCATAATCTAAAAGTATTGCAAAGAGATACTGTAGAACAGAGCAGTATCAGTCAAATTAATCATAAAATGCGTGAGATCAAATTAGTTTGGAGTCCTAAATAGTATATTTAGACCACTCAAAGATACCTTTTGTAATTATGGACTGTTATAACTACCCGAGAATCGTTCGGAAAAACCTTCAAAAGCCAGGAGGAACGGAGAAAATACGTCGACCAATCAGAGGGCTTTTGAAACTACCAAGAAAATCTAGAAACTGGTTAATCGTGTTTTCTTTATCCTGATTGGCCAGTTGCTGGAGTTGTCGGCAGTTTCAATGGGTTCCAAAATCTTATAAAATCCCTAGACTACGTAATCCTATAAACTTCCTCTAAACTTATCACGGTTTTCTGTTCACGATTAAAGTACTTCTGGAGACTAGGAAGTGGTTAGGAATTCGGTGTCTAAGCGTACAAAGAACAAGATGTATCAGGACAAAACACAGACAAATATTCCTTAATGTAGTCTTGTGGAGAGATTCATTAGTGGTTAAAGTACCTGTCTTCCAACTTTTAAGACACAATTTCGAACCCCACCCCGTTGACTTCAGTTTGTGAAGACGAACAGTATTAATGGACAAACTACGAATGTACTTCAAAACTGTGTACTTAAATCCCTACTTGGTTAATAAAATACTATATATTAGTTTATATATTTCATGAAGTAGTTGATAATATATGCTAAGTTCAACGTCTTGTGTTGATTTGAATGTTGATCAGAATGACAAGTCTATTATACTTACTTAGGCCTGTTACCCCTCGTGGAGGAGCATAGACTACCCACCAGTATGCTCCAATGGACTCTGTCCTGTAGCTCTAACTCTACGTGCAGCTCATCTAGGGCTACTGCTGGTCCCAAGCCCGGGTAAAGGAGGAGGGTTAGGCATGGGGTCAGCAACCCCATTCTGTAGTAAACAACCTTGCTAAAAATCGCCAACCAGAATGAACAAGTCTATTATGATGAACACTATTAAAACAAGACTTCTCAATGAGTGTTGTATACTACAACATGATTTTTATTGGCTACAAAAAATTGAAATTGTATCATTTCTACGTTGAACATGCATTATTAACACGACTTTTACTTTTTGTGAATAACGATGGTTAGTGTTTTTCCGATATCCCAATACCAGATGGATTCATAATCTGTATAATTTACCCACAAAGATAATTATAAATCACCTATTAGAAACTAACGCCAAAGACACAACACATCTGTTACGTCAACATGATTCATAAGGCGAAACCCTTATTTTGTAACTAGCAAAGGTTTGTCGTATTGGCTTATTATAAACAAAGGACATTTTCTCCATTCAAAGCTGCCATAAATTTTAAAATAATTAGTAACACTTGCGAACAGATTTAAAATCACTGAGCATACTGAACACTATATATGCAGTTTAATAAGAGATTAAACCTGCAGAATTAATAAACTTCCTCCCGAAATATAGATGTTAAAGACGGACTACATAAAGACCAATCACGTATGAGAAATATTAAAATGGATAGTGCTATTTGCAAATCTGCCAGTGAGCATAGTTAAATTTATATTAAAAAGCCATACCTATAGTGCAGAAAAGTCCAAAGGTACCAGTGAGAAATGTTGAGCTCATAATTGATGCTCATTAACTAGCATATGCAAAGCCACTAAGTCAACAGTGTCATATATACTCTTAGCAACAACTGTATTTATACTAGTACTTCTGTACTTAGCAAGTCCTCATAGGTATGCAGATGGAGTTTATAGGAGGGAAGAGAGAGTAGACTTTAAATTTATAACACTTTGTGGAGACAAACGTTAAATTGTTAGAAAGAATGGATAAATTTTGGTACAAAATAAAGTAGGGTGTAAATTCATCTGGTATATATCGTCCAATATTTCTAACTGAATCTTTGATATTGTTAAACAGAAATAAATAATATTGTATACTCTAATCATAATACATAGTGTTTCATCTAAAGTAAATTAAAAACTTAACAGAACTATCACTTCCCATTTGGTATCAAGTTAAATATGATCGGAATCTATAATTAGTAAACTGGCTTCAGTAATATAATTACAAATAAAGTAACTACTATTAACGACATAAGCTACATGGCTCATTTTTAACTAACTGAAAGTCTTATCCTACCAGGACATCCGTGTTTCTCAGTAGAACACTAAACATAATAAATTCATATACTTTATCATTTCTAAAAATGAAAGATAATTTTTGTCTTGATCGTACCTTATTAGGTCTATTTATATAACAAATACCTCAAAGTTTTATGAGATAGTATTTTTTCTTCTTAAACTATTGTTTTTATTATCAGCGCACTTTGTACACAATTCAAGATTTGTGAAATTTTAAGAGGCGAAGTATGTACAGAAGAAACCCTTTTTGGAATACACTCTTTTAGGTAAGATTTCGCGACATGTGACAAAAAACTTAAACGAGTTTTTTTTAATTTTATAGGTATTTTCCCACTTGCATAGGCCTTAAATCTGGTTCACAATTATTAGCCTTGATCACATAATTATGAGAAATATCTCAATACGAACAATTTGCGTTTACATTTGTTAAACTATGAAGACAGAAATGTATTATTCTGAAGCCATTGTAATTTAATTCCTAAACGACTAATAAAAAATAAGAAAAACCCATTTATGTCTTAAGTTTTGATAATTGTTATTGCAGTTGAATAAAAATATTACGCTCAGCAGTTCCCATTCCCTGATGATATTAGGTTAATTATTTTTTCAAGTTCTGGAAATTTGTGGAGTTTATTTTCCCTAGTAGATGAATTCAGATAGAAAATACCGAGTATTACTAGACTGGTGTTTAGTCACATTTCGAAACTTTCTAGTAATGTGCAATATCGAGCCAAATTATGACGAAATCTGTTTAATCCTTCTCTAGTTAACGTCTTCAGCGATAATTAACTCCAAAATTTACTTTCTACGGAGTTAATTACGAATTCCCAATAAACTTCATGTCTTAGAGAACGATATATTTTATTTATTTCTTAGTACTAAATATTTATAGCATCAAAAGATTCCGTTGAATAATGATTTAAATCCGATCGATAATTTTTGCCATATCGGAAAAGTAAGCATTCATATGGACAAACAAATGAACACAACAAAAATAGTTTCATCAATCTAGAACACTAAAACTAAATCTACCTGTTCATCATTAGCTAATTGATCATGATAATAATTGTTTTGTCTCAAAGATCTTTTGGAAATACGATTATGCTTGAAATGATAAATTCCAGGTAAAATCTAAAATAAAAACATAGACAAAAAATAAATGACCACAACCAATAGTTGCTACATAAAATATAATGATAGATGTTGCTTTATAAGAATAAATTTAGAAGACGATTAAAAATTGAACCAAAGTATATGATAACATTTACAGCTTTCCAAATGATATGGCCAAATATCACTACATAGCATACAATTCATATTGCAAATATGTAGGTAAAATAGTAGGATTACCCTACCCAGAAATTAGGCTAATTGACTACAGCTTTGATTATATGTAATCAGACAACTAATAATAAGTTTGTGCATTGAGCTTTGAAACACAGTTATCTACAAGACCTGGTTATGTTACTGAGATCCCGAAACCAATGTAAGTTGAGTACGGTGTGAACTCGCAATCTGGTGATTGAAAGATGACTGCTTTGATCACTAAGTCACAACATCACTAGACAAATATCTAATCAGACTAGACAACATGAGCCAAAGGAAAGAAAACTAATTTATGTAATACTACCGCTATTTGTCAGAACTATTAAAACTAGTTTTTGATTTCACTAGGATAATAAAAGACAACATTCAATAGCTTAAAAGACTATAATAGGGAATAAAATGTTACTCATTTCACTTCTAAATGTTCAATTTTAGATTATATAAGACTAGCGAAACTAGATTTGATCATGAACAATTTACTAAAAGTGTATAAGAAGTTTCACTGGCCTAATACTTTATTTTGTCCCTCTAATCTTTTCATTTTGACATTAACTTATTATAGTACACCTGTTTCGGGTAAAGGAGCTTGAAATTGATAGCTGAACAATCTGATCAGATTGATTCCCTTAATGCCTGAAAATAAAAAAGGAATAAATATAACGGTGGGTATGTGTGTGCATGTCATATTATGTGAAGATCTAGAGATTACCGACCATTCTCGTGATCAGAACACGACAAGTCTGACACCTTAAATGATCATCTTAACTTTAGTCTTTAACACTGTCTCCACTTGGCAGTGACACGTTATAAAATAGTGAGAGATAACACAAGTCTTCAGTGTTCGAGTCATTAGGAGAGAATCTACCTAAGAGAACTGATAAACACTGATTAAAAACCAGTGATGCACATTAACTTCGGGACTTCGAAGAGGTAAGCGATTTATGTGTGACTTGGTCGCCTACTACCGTCAGAGTAAGTAATCTGAAGTTCTGTACGCGTTTATCCTGGGATCCTGGGACGCTAGTACCGAAACATAAAGCTGACAGCACTATCCTAAGCCTATGAGTCAAACCTTCACTAGTAGGTTTACACTAGGCACCATTTATTAGGTATTTGGAAAACCTCAATTACACTAGGACGTAACTAACTGAAGTAGCTATGTCTTTTCATATTCTCTACCTATGATTTAACATCATGCAGCAGGGATGCAACGACGGGTGATATGCTCTGGACTGGGTGATTCGACGAGATACACTTAACAAACGTTTTGGGTTAGGAGATTTTCGAACAAACAAGCGTGAGTAATTGTTCATCATCACTGTAACAGAATTACGGCAAACGAAAAGTTATGTTCAAACATATTTGCAACTATTAATTGACACATAAAACAATACTTGCTTCCTTAGACCTAAACTATTGATGAAATTCAACAAGAAATGAAGTCAAAGCACCATGATAATAAATTTTAAAGTTAAGAACGAGTACATTAAATAAGATGAAAAATGAAATTTTAATACTAAAATCCTTGTTAATATGCTGTTGGATCATAGTACTAATAAAATAAGCGCCAACTATTATAACCAAAATGCACTTACAAACAGCTCTTTGTAAGATTTCCTAAAACCCAAGGATTAATTTCGTAAAAAATTCCTCATAATTATAATGACGACGCCGTTTTCAGAAGATAACCACGTTTTGTGATATATATATATATATATATATATATATATATATATATATATATATATATATATATACTGATACAACTTGAAAACATTAATTTTACAAACAAAAGTAAATTGATAATAAAAATGTATACGATCTGCTAGACAAATAATGCTTGTCCCAAGGAGACGGAATGAAAAAAAATCCTAGTTTACACCCGTCTGTGTAATCGCTTGTCATTCCCATTTTGACTGATAAGAGAAAAGCTACCGGAATTTATTGGGTATGTTGTTGGGGTTTCAATAGGATTCAGTTCTTGGTTTACTAACACATTTGCAACACCTCCCTACTGTTTCTAAACCCAGTATAAGGAGTTTCATATTTTCTAAATTACGTCAAATAAAGAAGTCTGCACAGAGCTTTATATGAAGGACTATGTTTTAAGACGATGTAGTGGATTCACGATTAAACTCTTATACATCAAACAAAACAGGCCCATTGAGTATGATCTGAGTGGGATAGGTAGTGAAAAATCCAACCTACAATTAAAAGCCGGTTTTCCCAGAAGAGATTATAATTTTTTAGTTGACTGAAGACTTTTTCGATGAACACATTACGAAGTCATTTCGTATTCATAAAAAAGCTTGGATGTATGGATAGCCAAGATTCTGAATAGAAATTTATCGAGCCCATGGACATTTCTTCACCTGTAACATAAATCTGCTCATGTATATCGTACAAAAGCTGCCGGATGTTAATCATATGCACATGAAAAAATTTTTTGCCTACAACTTAAAATAAATTGCACAATTTTTCTCGGTGTTGATAGCCCATAACGTGGTTACCACTTACCTCTCCAAGATATAGAAATCCGTATTTTTCGGCTATAGCACGCGCAGCCTTTTCACCTCCTTTGATTTCTACAGCCCAATATGGAGTATATAGTGCTTTTCTTTTGTTATGAGATAAGTCAGATAGCTCAGGTGTGATTGCAACATTTTGTTTTGGTATAGTTTGATTGTTTGTAGCGCAACAACAAAGCCTGACAGTGATGAAAATTATACAAACAAGCGAGCATATTTTATAAATTTGAAGAGAACGAGTAAGGTTCGGTGGGTAAGATAGGAATATATATTCCATTGTAAATTTCGTGAATCATAATATTAATCACAAGCATAGCTTTAGTTCATTTCTTCACTAATAGAATTTCTAGTATACTAGGAGCGAATAAAACAAGAGACGATGTGACCTTCTCATTGATTGGAGCTGAATCTACAGAACGTTAAACAATTGGTTAATTTGAACAACTTGAAATAAAAGTTGTCCTAACCAGTGATTACTTAATTTTAGATGATGAAGAGCTCAAAGGTTCACAGTGTTTATTATACATTTGGTGACACAAGATATTTCTCTTTCTGATACTATAGGTGGATGAAATTACACTTCAGTAGATCTTGTTTATTTGTCTTTGTGAAAAATGGACCATTTGGCAACACTAGCGGCTATTACTCCGAGGACTTGTGTGCAACAGTCACAAAAGATAATTCTGGAAGAGGGACGGATGATGCTTTCAAAAATGATAGGGGTATTGTCCATGGATTTAGATTTCTAATATATCCCGTGTTCTTAATTTCAATAACAATCAAAACTAGTTCATACCCTGGTCAGTCTATATCACCTCAATAATCTGTGACATACACGTCAAAATGTTCCGTCTGAATTCCTCCAGGGGGCTTATAGAGAACTTTCTACGGACTCAAACCTATGATCAAGTCACGAATCCGTAAAGATGAAAGACAGATCTTTCTAAAGTCGTTAGCTGATTTTTTTAGCCATAAAAAGTTTGTTTCATTTTATCAAACGGAGCCAAACTCCTGTCTTACCTGCTTTCCTCCCTTTTCCTCTTCCTATTTCAATATCTGTTTAAGTAAACGAATGTCTGAATTAAATTCATCCTGATAAATCCGTATTTCGCTTGATATCATTCGGTATTTAGAACTGGTTTAGTCATGGTGTAGTAAATAGGAAATAAACGGAGGATTTATACTCGCGAAATATTCATTCATTCATGTGAATCGGGGTCAGATCAACGGGCTACTGAATTAATGGGTCAACATAAAATGGTGGACTACTGAAGATGTCAAGTGTATTTGAAGTTAGACAACGTCTTAACCGTGACCTCCTTTATGATCAAAGTATGCCAACCCAGTCAAGTCAGAAATGAAATAGTTTGCAGATACGTTTGGAGGGCTATCTGTACGTTTGGTCTGAGCTAGCTGGTAGTTGAAAGGAATGTGTAAAACGACGTATCCACTAGTGACTTGGTATGGATGCGTGATCAAGTGCCTTTATCTAAGTGAGTCCATTAAAAATAATACATACAGCATCAAATGTCGAAGACTGTAATAGCTATTGATTTTGAGGATTTATTTACCGCTACACTACCATGTCGTTTTGACCCTCAATAAGCTTTCAAAGTTCATGCGAAAGTCGCTTTACATAAAATTCATACATTTGTTTGTTTATTTTTCAGCCCGGCTAAATTGGATTGATGAAGAGAAAAGTTCTTGATTATGGCCACTGTCTGAAGGTATTCAATCAAGCATCGGTACCATACAATAACCCAATCATACTCGAACCACCTGCCTATTCCAGACAGCCACCATTAATATTACATCTTTTTAACATCAAATATACATATTTTCACTCATCAATGCCTTCTTCCCTGCTTGTTTTCGGGATAACCTGTTTAAACATACTTGCGAACCGTTATTGTCCGAATCCATTTCATGCAGTATGTCTTCAACCCTAAACATTTTAAATTCTGTTATCAAAATTGGTTCAGTCTGTGCAATTGATCCGTGCGGTATGGCTCGGCCATGGAGGCGTGGTCATTCTGTATAACCCATAATTTTCCATTTTAAATAAATTAATTTATCCCTTGCTGAAATGTGCTCATCATATTTGCTTAACATCACATTTCTGACTGTCGCGTAGGATGAGTCAGTATAGATACTGATTTGACTTTCACGCAAAATCCTCTAGATGAGGTATTCACATCATCACAAATCAACGACTTTGAGATTGAGTTTATCTTTATGGTGGCAGACATAAATGTACTGATAATGGAATTTTCTATAATTCTACAAGGTAATAATGTACATTCAAATTTATAACAAGATTAATAGTCGTCATTTGCCCGAATATTTTGTTTTCGTCTCGATCGGGTGATAGAGCCTAAAGAGTTATTCCTCAAGCAAAACTGATTTAGCTTGAAAGTCATGGCGTTAAATTCACACACGGTACTTGTACAAAGCCAATGGCTTTCCGCTAACCAATGGCATAGTAGTCTTTATTTGACTAATAACTTTATGAAAATGGGATAACGACGGGATTAGTGAGTAAGTTTTTTTTGCTATTTATCTAAACTCGTGCTGTCACTCGCCAGATAGCCATGATTAAACAAAGGCATAATAATGAGATAAACTTCTGCCGTTCTGTTCAGTCCATGATAAGAAATTCGTGTGATAACAAAAACTAATTACCTGACATCACAGGCAGCACAGATGGTGAATATAACAGGCATATAACTACACCATAAGTATTGGAAGACTGAACACAAAATTAGTCGTGACGCAAGGACAGTTATACAGAGTAACTTTATAGACATCCGACAAAAGTTTACAAGAAAACGTATATACACAGTAATCCAAGTGTCTAGCACTTAGGCAATGAAATATAGACAAACAATTCTTCTAATGTCTTGTAAAAACTCGTAACATCCGCTCCTTCATAGCATACTTGTACCTTTTTCTTGACGTACGTAGGGTTGGAGCACAAGTATATTGGGGTATTGGTTTCTCAACTTCCCCCCATCCTTCTCCAGTAACTTAATATTTTTCATACATTCCTTCTTTGTGAACCATGGAAGAGAGATTCATGGTTTCAACAATGTTGTCCAGTTTGGGTATATTTTGGTGATTCTTAAATGCAGATTGCCAATAACTTTAAAAACATTCTCTCGGAAATATTTCTCTATTAACGATTCTGTATTTCTAAATTTTCGCACATTTACTTTCCAGAAGTTTGGACTGGCTAAACTTGACAAATTGTTTTTGGTAGTGATCCGTCATACAGTGGTACGATTCATCTATTCCAAGCTTCACCAATATAAAACCGAAAATTCTATACCACAGCCGCGAATTCTGGAGGTCAATTGAAACACGTTGAATGCAGTTCGTACAATCTCACTAGAACAAAGTACACACTAAGCTGACTAACACTGCTGATAAAACAGGCAATAACAATGCCATGAAAACTCAAAAGCAAACTACTTAAATAAATCGTATAAACCTTGAATATGAAGGGATGAACAAAGGGTTTTTGTCATATTAAATATATTCAGAGGATTTTTAAGAAAAGCACATTTACAAAGACAACAATTGACAACCCAACACCAAAAATCTCACCGAGTAACACAAAAGTTTCTCAGACACAATTGTAGTTCATCCTAGTGGCATCGTGTTCGGAAGGATTGGCAGGATCTACATCATCATGCTTACCTTCCCCTCTTACATTATGGTGCCATTCATCAGTTGTAGTCTTCAGTAGAACAGAGTGTACAGATATCTGTTTTAGTAACACCATCCTTTTTCAGTGTCGCTACTTCCGCAGTCCTATCACCATTAACGTTCTTATCAAGTTTGTCGGCTCCTATAGGCCATCAACCTCAGCACAATAGCCACTAAATCACCTTTCACAAAGCCGCGACGCTTCACCGAATGTTTTAACGGTTTTCCATGAGTGGTAAGTATCCTCTTACCCATCTTCTCCAAATTTTATCCGCGAAGTATTAATAACTTATCTGTAGTGCCTGCATATTTATCGCTACTACTGTTTTCTTTCGTAATTTCAGCACCTCCTGGTAATGACAAACTGTTAAGATAAAAGGCTAGCCAGTTATCAACATCCTATGTAGCGGGAGACATAAGGTATTTATCTAACCTGGTTTTCACTTCCGCTTGATAATTGAACAAAGTTTACCTATTTCAAATTTACTCGCTAGTCATCATCAGTAACATAGAGCATTCTTTCTTCTCATAAAAATTCATCTTTTATATAGCGCACTCATGCTATTTTTCAGGCATAACCACCAATTTACAACATCGATTGAAAAATTAGATGGTGACTTCGTAGTACTATTGAAAAGAACAAATCAGCAAGATTATAAAACAGAATTTTCACAGAGCGGTGAATCGGTTTGTGTGATAGAAGAATTTGATGGGTTTACAATTGTTGTACAGACTTAAAAGGGATTCTGATATAATCGCGACCTTGATTTGAGCGTGTATTACGTATATTACATAAGTTTAGGTAGAAGATGATGACAAAGTGGTTGAATGTATTTCCCCTCGCAACACGACTCTTACCTTAGCTAATCCTATGAGTATTCATGGAACTACCAATTGCGATTTATGCTTTAACCTGCTTCACTATGATGACTCTGAGTTTCTTATTCTTTCGTTCAATGCCTGCTCTCTGTCTAATAAAATTATTCATCTTAAAACTCTTTTATTCCTTGTAAATCCAACCATGGTATTTATTACGGAAACGTAATGTAATTCATCTATATCCGATCATTCCTTGAATGTAGATAACTACGTTTTCTTTAGAACCGATAGATGTTATGGAATAGGAGCCGGTACAATTATCTATGTCCGTTCAGACATTCAAGCGTGCGAATTTGAGGATAAATCCCTTGATGCTATAGACGACTCCACTTGGGTTACTGTAAACTGTGGATCCCAAAATTATTTACTTGTGGGATGCACATATAGACCACCTCATCCGGATACTAAGTTTGACAAATTACTAACAAACACCTTTTCCATTGCTTCGCACCAACCGCATACTTTTAAAATCATCGGAGGTGATTTTAATCTGCCAAAAATTACATGGGGCTTGACTCCGGTTCCAGGTCGATATAACAAGCTAGTTGAAACATTAGAAATTTGTGGATGGGTTCAACAGGTCCGAAGACCAACCAGGGGGAATAATACACTTGATTTAATGTTCACAATCAACATAGACTCTATCTCAATACATACCAGTCATGAGTTTTTTATGAGTGACCATAGAGT